TTCAAGGACGGGGATAGGCAATTGGTATCTAACTACAGGCCGGTAAGTCTGACATGCATTATTGCAAAGGTACTGGAAACTATTATAAGGGATCAACTATTAGCTTATGTTGAAACACATGGCTTGTTGGCTGTGGAACAGCATGGATTCCGACCAGGACGATCCTGCTTGACAAACCTACTATTGGCTAGGGAAGACTGGGTTGAGGCCAGAGATAGGGACCATCTGTTGGATGTGGTTTTTATTGATCTTAGCAAGGCGTTCGACAAAGTATCCCACTTAGGTCTCCTTAGTAAACTGAAAGGTTTCGGACTAGACCAATGCCTATGTGAGTGGTTTAGAGATTACTTAATGGATAGAAGGCAGAAGGTTAGAGTTAATGGTGTACTATCAGGATGGAAAGCAGTATCCAGTGGAGTGCCCCAGGGAACTGTATTAGGTCCTTTGCTATTCCTATTATACGTTAACGAATTACCAGGGATTCTTTCTTCATCTTCATTATTATTTGCAGATGACATTAAGGTATGGAAAACTGTAAACAATAACGAGGATAGGTTGGCCCTACAAAATGACTTAGATAAATTAGCTGAGTGGTCAAGCCTATGGAGTTTGGAAATGAATGCTAGGAAAAGCGCGGTAATGCACTTAGGTCAGAAGTCTTATACGTCGTACTCCCTAGGGGATGCGGAACTACCTGATGTCAAAGAACAGAAGGACCTAGGAATCATTGTCAGTAACGATTTGAAAACAACTGCAAATTGCAGTGCAGCCGCAGCTAAAGCTTTTCGAATGCTATGGGCAATTCGAAGGGCTTTCAAACGATTAGACGAGGGCATGTTCCAAATACTCTACGCAACATATGTCAGGCCTCATCTAGAATACTGCATACAAGCGACGAGTCCATGCTTCAAAAAGGAGGCACATATTCTGGAAAGAGTACAGAGAGTAGGAACAAAATTAGTTAGTGGTATCTCACACCTTCCTTATGATAAGAGGATGGAGCATTTAAATCTCTTCCCGTTATCATACCGAAGGAAGAGAGGCGACTTAATTTTGGCATACCGTATACTTAAGGGTGATTTAGGAACTGACCTTTCTAACCTTTTCTCCCCTTCTAGGATACATTTACGGGGTCACCGCAAAAAGGTGCTCAAACCAAGGACGATTAAAATACGTGCAGAATTTAGATTCTCTCACAGAGTGGTCAACGATTGGAACTCCTTACCTGATTCAGTAGTATCAGCTCCATCGGTGAACGCTTTCAAAGAGAAGTTAGATCTCTGCAGAGATATACTTTGCAAGGATTAACACAGGCCACAAGAGCCTTCTATCCTTATCATCTGAATCTGAATCTGAATCTGAATCTGGTTTATACTAGCTCGTAAAAACGGTATTGGATATTGGACCTTTAGGTGGCCTATTATTTTAAAGAAGTAGGCTACGGGTAACTGGGACGAAACCTAGTAAAGACCCCAAGCGATCAGTCAGATTGGTCAGAAGTGGAACTGCGTAATTGGAAATAAACGTCTATAGGTGACTCTATAGCAACTATAGCAAAGCAAATTAGAACTACCTAATGAACAGATTCGTGACATTGATGAATTTCTGTTCAGAAATAGGTTTAACATAACTATAGGGACTCCTGTGACAAATTGGGAGGTTTTTTGGAACATATAGATGTAACCATTTTTTTTATTATTGCATTGTTTGTATATAGACGTTTACTTCAAATCATGCACTTCTACTTCTTATAAGATTCGTAATTACGAATCTGATTGGTCGCTAGAGGTATCCAATATCGTTTTTACGAGCTAGTATAAACCAATTTGATTTCTTTGTGCTCGCCTCTTGATTGTGAGGTATAGGTTTCTGATCTTCGGTAAACTTCTGCGTAACTCATCCCGCCACTCAACTGTCGTAGATTTGGTTGACTCCAAAAGGAGGGGTACTGGGACTAATTATACGTGGTTTGTAGTATGAGGTGTGTGAAGACTGTTACTACTGTGGATGGAGTTGATCCTTCACCAGTTAGTCATCCGGTATCGTCGTCAAAAGAAAAGAGATAATAACAATAGTAGATATAATTAGTGAAGTTATTCAGACTAACACACAGGAAAAGAAATAAGAGAACGTAACAACAGTCAGCTGATTAAATTTCAAAAATAATATGAATAATATATATACATATATATATATCGGTAATAATGGTAACAATAATAATAGGTGTAGTTAAAGTTGTCAGGAGAGTAAGACGCGAGAGAATGTAAAGAGGTAGTTTCGTTTTGGGCTGCTATAGTTTAGAGTCACCAAAGAGATCAGTCTTCATGTGATAATCATAGACAGATCAGGTTGACTAATATAGTACCTAAATTCTAAGTTCCATAGCTCTGTAGAGAATACGTCTAAAAGTGTTTAGCTGTCTTAAGATTTCAACAGGTTCGACAACACATCATAAAATTGCATCATGCTAAGCAGGGAATTCTACTCGAGCTCATGCAGCTGTGTATTAACTTAAGCAGAGTTGTAGGCATAAGTGGCAACAATCGGTGATATTCAAATTTCGTTATGGATGTCCTAGTGGATGTTATCCTTGTTGGTTTTAACGGCTTAGGGGTCGACTTGACATGGAATGTCAGGTGATATTGCCCCCTTAGGTGAGGAAGATGACAAAAATGCAGTCTTCTAAACACCTTGAGCAGAGATTTTCGAGTTTTTGGCATGCAATTCAGCTCTGTGAAAAGTATGCTTCAGGACTAGTTGGAACCGACTCCTAGGTCAAGTGATTTTTTCATTTCTTTTCAAACATCGCACTGTCATAGGAACAACTTTTTTGTTCTCTACTATCTTAAATTTATTTGTTTGTTTGTTTGTTAACTCCTAACATTTGTGTTATTTCCGGATACTTACGTAATTGCACATCGTTTCTGTGTGCACTTGACTCATTAAATTGTTCATCTTACTACGTAACTGTAATAAACTGTTTTAACTCCTGTGCATTTACTAACATTAAAAGCTATAATTGTGACAACTCATCACCTTTTTTCCTACCTCAGATAAAAAATTGTATATAAATTCGATTGTACAGCTAAGGAAAATGTATTTGCTGAGAAGAGTCTTTTAACAGAATTACTTGTTCTTTTGACTCATGCCTGGCTTGGAATTGTTCATGAGATTGCTAGGACACGTCAAATAGAAACCTGATATCAATCCAAAATTATTTGCCTGGTAGTTAAATCCACGTAAAATTGTAAAGTGCTTGGCTAGGATTTTCAACACGCTAAAAACCAATTACTTGTGACGTGGCCTAAAATGGTTCTTAATGTTGCAGGTCAGCTCACTCTTTATGAACTCCTGCATCCGTCAGATTCGTATTTTCCATCTAATTATTATTTCTCCCGTAAATTCCCTTAGAGTGTACTTCCTTTGAATCCTTCCTCTGCCTTTGTGTGCAATATGGAATCGGGCGCGGCCAGCCACCGAGACATTGTTTCACTGCTCTGTAGATCATACTTCAAATCAGAGGTTCGAGCATAACCCCGTAAGACAACCACGTGCTTCGATTTGGGTGTCCGGTCAGTATCTCAGCTCTTGCACAAACTGAGTTTTTAAGTGACACATCCGTTGATGCCCATAATTCACTAAGTTTGTCTTCTAATAAATTCTACGTTTTCATTGATAAACTTGGCAAGTAAGCGTTTCAAAACTGCTTGGTTTCTGAGTTCGATAAGTTGCATCTACGTTCACACAGATTAATGCATAGTCGAGTCTATGTGGACCTTCTAAACGGAGCAGAAATTTTCTGTCGACCTACCCCACCATAAGTTACAGCTACTCTGCTATTCGTATCTGTGGTTGGCTTGTTTCTAGTGGTCTCTCGATGAAAAAAATATTTCTCTTTACTTTTGAAATTAGTGCTGTCTAGGGAGAATGGTTACATAAACAAAAATGCAAGCGGTGGTTTGCTTTCCCAGCAAACTGGGTTACTCATCTTAAAATGCATTGTACTCTGAATTGTGGTCAGAGAGCATATGAATGGGTATTTCGCAGACGGCATCAGTAAGCATCACACTCCCCTTGTTCTTACAGATCCTTTCATTCCGACTCATTTCTCCTACTTCTGCATTTGAACATCACCATAACATTTCTGAATGTCCGATTTTTTGTAGTAGTCAGACAGTTGGTAGTTATCCTTTATGTAGTCGAATCTATAGTCAGTAAATGCATAGGTAGAGATTAGAAAAATGCAGCATATTCATCTGTTAATTTCTTGTGGTCACCTATCCATAATTGCTATAATTTATCCTGAAATTCCTTCATGTCCTGAATAATTCATAATAGGTTTCTTTGTTGGCTTTGGGACATGCTGTACTCGAACATAAAGCTGTTCTCTTTCGGTGGCACAGCGGTTAGGAAGCTCGCCCACCATGCACATGGTCCGGCGTTCGATCCCCGGTCGACGCACACCTTATATCAATAGTCGGCGTTCTAAACTTGGGCTACTGATATCACATGCTGAAAATTCCATACTTGTACCAAGTACTGTGTGAAATCAAGTTATCATAAAATTAAAATAATATGGGACAGTTCGACCATATGAGGAAATGTGGACTTTGTATATAGAGCATTCTTGCTTTAATTGATAGTCGACGTAGTTTGTTTTCAATCATATTTCTTTATTTCGTGCTGATTCACAGTAATCTAATTTAATTAATGTCATACGGCTTTGAGAGAGATCGACAGAAAGTCCTGCCGATTGTCTCCAACCATCTAACATCGATTCAGAGTGCACCGTCGTGATAAGTCACCCAGTCTGATGAACACACTGTTAACTCGACTGATAGAATACAGTTAGCACCAACACCAAAGACAAGACTCATGACGTTGGTTACCCTCTAGTGACCAACGTGTATGCGCACATATATATATATATATATCCTCTCAGATATTTGCTCAATTTTATATACTTTATTTTAGAGGACATTTCTTCAAGCACTACTTTAATGATACCTACATCAAAAAGCACTTCAGGTATGTTAAACTGATTGAAATTTTATAGAATCTCTGAAGATTCGATCGAGTGTTCAAATTGCGATGATGTTGGTGACGAAGATGTAAAGCTGTGCACCACAGAGGCCGAAGCTGCCGTAGTTGAAGTTAGTTTTGGAGTAAAAGACATACGTTTAGCATCAGATCCCTTACCATTCACCAACACCTTGGCATATTTAAATGTGACAACTCTGGAAGGTGAAAAAATGTGTATTGAAGTTAGTGACAAAGGATTTAGATCTGTCGGTTCATCGTGAGTCCTGAGTTAATGCACCACTTTGTATGCTTGCATTTATATATATATATATATATATATATGTATATATATATATATATGTATATATGTATATATATGTATATATGTATATATATATATATATATATATATATATATATATATATAATCAGTATTCTTCTAAACAGTTGTACAATTTTCAATACTTCTTTCAAGTCAATCATTTTTCATTATTTTCACAAAATTACTATTTTAGATGCAAAAATCATATTAAAAGGTACATCTAACCGTATTCAGGTTTTACCCATTTTCTGTTTTTTCTTACGGCAGCAGAATTTATCGTATTTGTGCATTCACTATTAAGTTTTCCTGATATTCTTTTTATATTTAGAGACTTTGTGATCCATTTAATTCTCCGTATAAATATACTGACATTGAACATTGGACATCTATTTCATGTTGCAGTATAATTTTATGTTACATCGATGGGTAGCACTAGTCAGAAACTTTTCGTGGTAATCTACCACAGTGGGGTCTGTATTTCTTAATTTAGCAAAAATATTCATTTAAACATGCGTAGAACACAAAATAATCGAGCAAAGAGTATTCTTTTTGATAAATTCCTCTTCCGGCTCTACAATTATATATATATGTTTATATACATAGAATATTCTAGATTAGTAGTTAATAACAATATCAGTGTTTTTTAAATAATGTCGATTTGTAAAGTATGATCAATGCAATTACAGTTCATTAAAGATGCTTAAATAATAATAATACAATAGCGAATAGAATATCAACGAAAATTAGGAAAATTTCACAGAAATTCAGGATCACTCAAACCTAGATGACCAAGGTAATGATAATGTCTGTACTAACTTCTTTTGTTAATATAGATACCCACAGCCTCAGCAATATTTAGTAGTCGAAATCTTAAGGCAAAGTTGAGATTTGTAGGTATGCGGTAAATGACTCTAAAAGCATGGTTAATGTCAATCTTGGGTTCCGTCTCCACAAGATGAGACAGAATAGCGCTGCGAATAGATTTTGTTTGTCCTTTGCTTAACCAGGCAGGGTGACGTTCGGAAATTCGACGAGGAACACGCCTAATTGTACGGCCTATGTAACTGGCTCCTCAGGAGCAGTTAAATTGGTAGATACACATAATCTAAAATTCCTAAAAGTCTACTCTTCTCTGGATCCGATTGAAAACATAGAAAAAGTTAGCGGAAACATTGAGAAGACTAAAACAACAAGGCTTCATCACTTAAACGTACTGGAACGTTCACACCAAGACTATATCCCTCGCCTAAAGTGCACAAAAATGGTGAACCGCTGCGACCATCCTGTAGCACAATGGTTAGTCAAACTCTTACAGCCTCTTCATACCGAGTTGGTGAAACACAGTGGAAAGGATACTTTTAGATTTGTTGAAAGGATAAAAGATTTAAATGTTGATAGTAAATTCATGATAATCATTTGATGTGTCTTCCTTATTCACCAGTGTACAACTTATGGAAACAGTGGACTTTGTATGCGAAGACGAAACATCGATGTTGGCATTCCTATATTTTTTTATCAAAGAGCTTCTCTTGAAATACACAATGAATGTCCACTTTTTATTTAATAAGGAACTATATAGACAAATCGATGGCATGGCAATCGGGTCACCGCTAGGACCCATTCTAGCCGACATTTTCCTTGCGAAACTAGAAAATGGGCCTTTGGAGGATGTTATTAATGAACTCGAATTTTATTGTCGGTACATGGATGATACTTTTTTGATTATGAAAAACGAGAAGGAGGCAAAGGACATCCTGGGTAAATTTAATCAGGTAATAAAATGAACTATTGAGAAAGTAAAAGACTCTTCATTTCTAGACGTCCTTATTACCAGAAAAGAGGATGGAGCAATAAGAAGAATTATGTGTAGAAAATCTACGTCGACGGGTAGGTATACTCATTGTTTCAGCTTCATGCTCGTGAAATACAAACGCAATCTGATAAAGTGCTTGGTTCACGGAGCAAGAGCAATCTGCTCGGATGAATGTCTTGATGAGGAACTTAATAATATTAAACGGTTGCTGAGTGAAAATGGTTATCCAGAAAATTTTATTGATAAGAATATGAATCTAAAATCAAAGCAGTCCAAGGTACCAAAAGTTCCTAAAAAGACTTTATTCTTACAAATGCAGTTCTTTGGGGACAACATCAGCGAGATACTAACACAGCGCCTTAGATATGCGGTAAAAAGAACATTCCCCGCTCCTGAATTACGCTGTATCTTTAAAACCACTCCTCTTTTGCGTTCGGGAGTAAAAGACAAACTGGCTGATTGCGTCTCTTCCATGTGTATCTACCAATTTAACTGCTCCTGAGGAGCCAGTTACATAGGCCGTACAATTAGGCGTGTTCCTCGTCGAATTTCCGAACGTCACCCTGCCTGGTTAAGCAAAGGACAAACAAAATCTATTCGCAGCGCTATTCTGTCTCATCTTGTGGAGACGGAACCCAAGATTGACATTAACCATGCTTTTAGAGTCATTTACCGCATACCTACAAATCTCAACTTTGCCTTAAGATTTCGACTACTAAATATTGCTGAGGCTGTGGGTATCTATATTAACAAAAGAAGTTAGTACAGACATTATCATTACCTTGGTCATCTAGGTTTGAGTGATCCTGAATTTCTGTGAAATTTTCCTAATTTTCGTTGATATTCTATTCGCTATTGTATTATTATTATTTAAGCATCTTTAATGAACTGTAATTGCATTGATCATACTTTACAAATCGACATTATTTAAAAAACACTGATATTGTTATTAACTACTAATCTAGAATATTCTATGTATATAAACATATATATATAATTGTAGAGCCGGAAGAGGAATTTATCAAAAAGAATACTCTTTGCTCGATTATTTCCTAATTTAACTAAATTCCTTCCTGGACGTTACAATTATAAATCCACTAATATTAGCATACATTAGCCAGTGAAGACAAATTATAATTGCATCAGAAACTGTATTGTTTTAGATGAATGATTGTTTTGATTACCATTTTAGTCCATATAAAGTGTGTAGTCAATACGAACATGAAGTAAAATGAAATTTAGAAAATCAGTGTTGTGTTTGTGAATAAAAACTCAAAAAATAATACATGTTCTAGGGAAGAGTGTTTGGGGTCACTGGTGTGAGAGACAGTGTAAATGCTACAGAGGAATGAACAAACAAATGGGGTACGGTGTATATAATTTCAAGGGGCGACAAATAACGATAATAATAATAATAGTACAGTAATAATGGTCTTATGTAAAGACGGACCTACTGTTAGTGAAGGATCAATCAGTAATGAACAATTTAATGAAGTCGAAAGGGAAGGATTGTGTTAGTAGAATATGAAATGTGGAAAGTATTATAGATACGATAAGTAAGGTCGTTAAATCGTAAATGGTCTGAAATAGAAGTTTTTCAATGAGACAAGAGAAACGTGAACGTTGTGAGGTAAATTAGTGTTACAGGACCTCATCATGATATGACATCGGTGGGGGTGTACTGCGAAGACTCACAAACTAGGACGAAATTACTGTTCAGTACTCTCAGGTTTTCCATTGGTTCTTTAACCAGTGTCAGCTCATGGTGAAATAATGTGATCAATCAAATACCTGCAAACTAACACTTGCGTATGAGTGTTACTTAAAAACGTTTGGAGAGGATTTGTAGACCTTATTGTGGGTCAAGATAAACGAAGCAGCTGGAAATATTTTTCCAGAATACAGAAACTAGACCTTATGGTATTGACTGCTAGCGCTCCAGCAACTGATACGGGACTTAGTTGAGCTCTTCTTGGTAGATTACTGGGAACATGATAAATTGAAGGTGCCGATGATCCCACCATAACCCCATTTGTCTAACAGTACAGTTTCTTTAAATGTTAAATAGGTAGATTTTAGACAAGGATATACTAATATTTCCTACAGGTATTGGACGTCTAGCTAGTTCTCCTTGGTTACCTTCAAGTTCTTATTTCTTAATATAAAGTGGATCAAATATAAGAATGTTAGTTTAAGAAAAGCAATTAAGTCAAAATTTGCCGTCATTCCACCTTCTTCGATAGTACTATTCGTCAATGTACTTTTAAATTCCTCAACTTTTTTAAACGTTAGCAGGAGTAGCATATCTAAGTTGTTTTGAATAATCTTCATATGCATTTTTACGAACTGTATGTCGCGTAATTTATAAAGTTAATAATTGTTTTCAGAAGAACATCTATTATGTGGATTTACGGTCTTCCAGAAAATCTGGTAGCGGAGTTAGTTTTAGGAGCTGCTGAGAATTAAACTACATTTACTAGTTTTGGTTTCAATTCTCTAGATAGACTGCATGTCTCGCATTTTATATTATTCGTTGTTAATGGGTACTAGTGTGTATGTAACTGATTTGATGTTACATAGCATTGCAGTTTGATCTGCACATGATTTCATTTTCCTGAATCTATCCCTTTCTGAGCGTGTTCTTTTATCAATCTTTAGTTTCTCCAGGATTGTCCGTCTTAATATTTAGCTTGGGGTATACAGAAACATGATTCCTCTCCAGTTTTTGCAAAGGCATAGGTGTTCGACGAAGTATCCCTTCTTTGATTGACATGCACATTTCCTTCCTTCCAAATATTCCTCATCGGTGATGTGAATATATCCGCTGAAATCTCTGCGTCCATTTTCAATACTTCTGGAGGAACTCCATATGATTCTACTTCTTTTCCGGGTTTCAGTAACTTCACGGCATTCAAGATTTCTGATTTCGCTGGAGGACTGGGGTTCACTGGCAGACAGTTCTGTGACTGCTGATTTTATTTCTGAACAGGATGTAGGTGGTAGATGATCCAAGAGTCTTTTGAAGCGACCAGTCCAATGATTCCTTTGTCTCACCTCTTTCACTCTATCATTTCTCTATGTTACTTCACGCCCGATAGTACCTGGTTATTTGATATCGCGCTTTGAAGTCTCCTTTACCTGAGGCCTGTTGTGCTTCAGTTACAATATGTTGTAAGGGTGTCTTTGTCTTTCCCGGTAGTCCCCTTTTCTCTAGTGCTGTGTAGGTTATATATATATATATATATATATATATATATATATATATATATATATATATATATATATATATATATATATATATAAAGGTTTCTCCTTTCGTTATCCATCTGTGTATTGGTTCATCTTTCGTCTCATTATCTTGCTCTCCGCAGTCAGCTACCATGTGATTGTAGTGATCCATTCCTTGTCTTGCATCGGCTTCCTTCCTAAAACAGCTATACAAGTTTCTTTCCACGTCACTTTCAGAGAGTCCCACATAGGTTTCTTTGGGGTTGCTACTTATATATCCACGTTTTGCCTGATGACTGCAGTGAACGTCTCCTTTGGAGCTTTCTTTTTTAGTTACTGAGCGCTGGACTTAAATTATAATCTGTTTCCAGCGTCTTTGAAACTTTTCAACATGATCCTGAAGGTTCTTTGCACTAGGTAGTGATTTGAACCTACGGTCATTCCTCTTCTTCATTTTGTATCCAGTTGGTTGTATCTACATTTTCTTGAGATTGGGGTGAAGTCTATCTGACTTTCAATGTGTCAATCTTTTGAAACCCATATCGCTTTGTGAATATCCTCGTACTTGTATACACTCTTTCTAATCACCAAATCATGGAATTCTACAAAGAATTCTCCATTCTCCTTAAATTCACTGACCTCCTCTCCATTCATGATGAGTTCTCTTTCTGTACTGTCTATTCTCGGTTTGACTGGCATTCATATCATCCATTTCAATTTCGATGTCATCATATAGTGTGGGTCTTGTCCACTACTGATTTCTGTTGTCCGTATAGCTCTTCCTTTTTGTCAGCGTTGTTTGTGACATTGTGTAACTTCTGCAATCTGGGCATCCTTTCCAGCTTCTAACATTGTGCAACCATTTCATGTCGCCACGGTTATTTTTGCTTTCATCGAAAGAAGACACTAGCCGAGTGGCTTCTCGAAGGCTTTCATCAGCCATCGTTTTGCCTCCCTGATTTCGGTGAAGAATAATTCTATTTCTTAATATTTTTCTGCGCCCTGAAATTTCTTTATCGATAAAATTAATTTTTCGGGGTAGAATAATTAGCCTCACGTCCAACCTTTCCTCTGTTTACGGGCATAGAACTGGCTAGTAAACTACTGAACTAGGTGAGATTGACGTTAGTCAAACTTCACATCTATTTTGATTGGTACACACCGGTTTTCTTGTACAGAGGAACTGAGCATTTTCCGTTGTTCTCTATGTGTAGATTGATTTTAATTATTAAGAATTAGTTTACCGAGAATTCCATTGGTTTCCAATAGGATATATGTATTAAGAGTATTTTTAGATTCAGTTATTCGTTTCTGGGTATAATCTAGTTGACTTAATGCAATATATCCTTTTGGAAACGTTGATTTTAAACATTATTTATTGTTATTATATTCCCTTGGCTTCCGAGAGGGACATAGAGCTTCAGCAATACATCTCCATTCCATCTTGTTATCTGCAGTCCTTTTTAGCTGGCCCCACGATTACCCGTAAACCCTCATCTCTTCCTCAAACAATGTCCTCCATATCATCGATTTCTCAATCGGGTTCCACTCAAGCGATGGCCTGAGGAGCTATGTCTCTCACCGGTTTTCGCATTAAATTACATTCAACAATTTAAGTTTACACCGAGCAACTTTATTCATCATAGATCGTTAAGCGGTCGTAGATTTCTCAGTTTTTTGGTTACTTGTTTATAATTTTAACTTTTCATAGTTGGTTTGTCCTAATTAAGTAAGATGAATCGAGTCAGTAAAAAATACAAATTTTTTTTAACATTGTACTCATTACTTCAACTTATTTTTACTGCCTATTTATGCATTCCGTGGCCCTCTTCTCACCTCTCTCTCTCTCTGCACAAATTAATAGATATAATGAGATCAACAGACAAATACTCGACAACACTTATTCCAGTCTATCAACTGAAGAATGCTGTACAAATTACTATGAAACAATTTATGCCTTATTGTCTGCGCGAAGTCGACTATTTCGTGATAGTTTTTCAAATCAATTAAGTATGCGATTGAAAGAGTTGGTTAAAGAACAGGGTTAAATCAACAACAAAAATATCCATTAATAATAAATAACTGTAGCAGTTTTCATATGACAACCATATATTGTATATTACAATTTTATTCACTTAATCTTTCTTCATTGTATATTGGTATTTAAATGGATAACTGAATACACATTGGAGTGTATATTTCCGATAATTCTACCATCATTATTACTTAAACAAATGCATTTCTTACGTATGTATTTATATCCTTTTTGTTTGTTGATGTATTTACACAAAGTTTTACTTTGTATTCGTTCCCTGTGTATGTGTGAATGATTTGTACGCTACATGTATCCGTCGACTGATTTACTAGCATAAATTGGATGACTTTCGCTATAATTCCTGTTAATATAATTCAACTGTTATTATTTTATCTGTTCAAGCAAATTTTCATAAAATGAAAGAGAAATGGGAGACGTAAAAACTTCACTTTTAGCTATTATTATAATTACTATTTCTATGAATGTTATGAAGTTAACATAAAACCCACTTACACATCATCTGTAATTTTACCCGTTCACAAACTCGAATAGGACAAGAACAAAAGTGCTAACAGAAATAACAAGAATTCGCCTGTTCATCCATGGTTCTGTTGAACTGTTTTACAATAATATATTTTTTATTTTATTTATTTAATTCCTTTTGCGTTCCGAGTACAACACAGGGCTCCAAGCTTCACCTTTGGAGTTTCAGTAGCAGTGATGTTCTTACGGGATGGGGTTGATAGTCCCACACCCAACCTTCGCGCTTTGTCCGGATTACAGCTGGCTAAGGGATGTAGAAAGGTGTTCACTGGCCGGAAATCGGACCCCGGACCATATACATATATGCATAAGGCCACTCGCAGTTGAGTCCCTTTATTACATATCTCCGCTAACTGTAGCGTCTTAGTCTGTTGCTATAGTGGTTTAATGACAAGTTATATTTTTCATAGGCTTTTTAAATGTCATTATATTCTTGAACTGCGTCACATTTATTACACTTTCATCAGAAAATCTTGCTGAATATTGATGTCTGCTCAAAGTGATGGATCAAAGGATATGTTAATTTCGAAATTTAAACGTACATTTTTGGATTTTCATGAAATCTTGCTGGTATTTTTTGGCGTATTTATTGAAACGCACTATTATCCACTGGATAAAGGTGCCTCCAATCTAAAAAAAGGGATATGCCATGTAATCTGTCAGACTTTGTTAAACAATTTGAAAAATAAAAAGCTAATTATTAAATTGAATTTTGATTTTCCCGTCGATTGTTTGGACTGAAGTGCTCGGTCTCAGGTTGACATGTCAGCTTCTTGTGCAGATGCTTCGACGATGTCTGAACATTTAATTAGTATACAATTGGTGGATGGTGGCTAGCAGTGGAATCCAGGATGCGCATTTCGTCCTATTTGGGACTCGTCAGCTGGATGTACCTGCATTTCTCAGTGAGTGATGACGTTCCCACCGAATTAATATGACCCGTTGCACAAGAGGTGGCTCTCGTGGCCCAAGTGGTCTGTCTAGTGGATAACGCTTTGGCGTTTGAAACTATGGGTACTGGGTTCGAGCTTCGGTGGGAACGTCATCACTCACTGAGAAATGCAGGTACATCCAGCTGACGCGTCCCAAATAAGACGAAATGCGCATCCTGGATTCCACCGCTAGCCACCATCCACAAATTAAATTCTAATTAAATGTTCAGACATCGTCGAAGCATCTGCACAAGAAGCTGACATGTCAACCTGAGACCGAGCACTTCAGTCCAAACAATCGACGGGAAAATCAAAAATTCAATTCAATAATTAATGTGACCCGTTGCACAAGAGGTGGCTCTCGTGGCCCAAGTGGTCTAGTGGATAACGCTTTGGCGTTTGAAACTATGGGCACTGGGTTCGAGCTTCGGTGGGAACGTCATCACTCACTGAGAAATGCAGGTACACCCAGCTGACGAGTCCCAAATAGGACGAAATGCGCATCCTGGATTCCACTGCTAGCCACCATACACCAATTGTATAATAAAAAGCTAAACTCAAAATAATGTAGATTCTCGAAACCGGTAAAAACAGGAAGAGAAACAACCAAGTGTTGTATAAACGTGATGCTGAGGATTTGGGAATTAACGACGAATTCAAATTCCGTTACGATTGTTCTTTCTCTTGAATAATTGTTGAAGTCGTGCATCACACTGGTGAGAAAATACAACAGAATATTAAGGTTTCATAGGGGCATACTCCACCTCACTGAATTCAATGTCCCAAGATAATGTGACTTATTGAAACACAATCTCCACCTTACCTACTTGACAATTGTGTTGTCGAACCTCAGAATTACTTGACGTCGTTACTGGATGTACACAACTGTGCAGACCTAGCGGTGACTAAACATGTGGTCTCTGCACATGTTCAGCTTGGAGAGGCCATGCTTCAAAACAGTAGAGGAAGATCACATATGCATTAGACCACAGACCAACGGGTAACTGACATTGGTATATGTTACGATTAGAAATCTTACCAATCAAACAGTAACCTAGATACACAAATGTTTTGACTGTTTCTTAAAAATCCACGTAAAGCTGAATGCGGACACAGGATCTCGCCAATCCAGTAAGAGTAATTAACAGCGCATAGCGTATGTCATATTTACAGACGTTAACCATCAACCGATTAAATCGGATTAGGCTAGTTATAATAATAATGATAATCTGCTTTATGCCAAAAACAGCACTACTTATAATACGGAATAGAATTCTCAGCATTTGTCACAATATTGCATCTAATTTACTCAAAATATAAATAAAATTAGCCACAGTAATTTGTTAACTTTCACAGTAGGAATAGAGTCAATAATCTACAAAGTATAAAATTAGAACAATAACAAAATAACAGTAATATTAATGGTAATAACAACAGCAGGCTTGTTTCAAACAATATTGTCAATACAGCATGGAAATTGTAGCATGTTATATAGTGTTTGGATCTAATGTCCTCTTGAAATAGCATGGTGGAAGAAAAACAATTACAATTATTCCAGCCTAAATGATGTGTACACTTGTGAAAAAGTAAACAAAAATATGAGAGGATTATAAATGTAAGAATAATAATAACATTAAACTTGATGTTATAAGGCTGGAGAAGATTTCTTATTTACTAGTGGTAAGAAGGTTAGTTAGTTCGTGCCTGACACAATTTTCATCCCATAAAATACTTGCCAAGTATGAGATTTTTATACTTAGACGTACGTGCATAGTCTTTTGAAATGACTTCTTGTGTTACCTGAGAAGACACAAGGTGAAAGCAGCGGGTAAATTGAATGCTCACAGTCTGACAAATTCCCTTTAGCAAATTTGTTGTATGAAATCAATGTCGATGTCATCGATATGGCCCAATCGGATACCACTCACTCTACTGACAGTCTTCAGAGTTCTACGAGGTATGACACATTTTTTTTTAAGTAACCCAGGGACGAATATGGGTGAACAATAAAGAAGAATAGGCATGATGCAATAGTTGATAAACTGTAAGAGGAAGAGTTGAGTTGTGCCTGAGTTCCTTAACTTCTGAATGAGAAAAGTCAGGTAAAATATTCTTTTAGAAATCGCTAAGATATGGGAAAACCAGGATAGATCGGAAAAAAGAACTAGTCCAAGATACTTAACGTCAGACTTGATTTCTATAGCAGTATCATCAGTTTCTCAACGGTTATGGGAATTAATAGCTTCACTTAACTTTCTTTTGCATTGGAAACTGAAACTAACAGTCTGGCATTTGGAAGGATTTAGTTTAAGACCATTTGCCGACTCCTGATAGAAAAATATCCATCTTAGTACAATCCAGCTGGGAGTTAATAGGCATTGAAACAGTTAGGTCGTCCGCATACTTAACAAAGTTCATTTCATCAGAGTGAGGTAAGACATGCAAGAAGAACGAAAACAGAAAAGGAGTAAGAACAACGCCTTGAGAACGCCAGCCTCAGGAGGCGATGAAGTGGACGACTTTCCCTTAAATACAGTGTGCTACTTTCTTCCTGAGAAATAAGAATGCAGCCAATTGACAATCAACCACTCAGTTTGAGTTTCAGCAAGCCTATTTAACAAAATATCCCTAGGTGCTGAGTCAAAAGCAGATGTTTAATCTGGGAAGGCACAAAGAACAAATTTGGCCCTTTTGTCTAAACTAGAGACTATGTTATGATGTACGACTGCGGTTGCATCTGAAGTACTTCTACTGTGTTTGTAGGCAGAATTGACGAGGATATCAAAGCCAGAATCGGAATATCAAGACAAGCTTTCATTACTCTCAAGTCTGTGTGGAGGTCAACAGCACTCAGCATCAAAAATAACATCCGGATTTTCAACTCCAGTGGTAAGTCAGTGCTACTTTACGGATCAAAGACTTCGCGCGTCATAAAGAGCATCTCAAACAAACTTCAGACCTTCATTAACAGTTGTCTTCGCTCAATACTCAAGATCAGATGGCTGGTCAGAAAAGATCAGCAACAGGGATCTCTGAAAGCGAACCAGACCAACAGGAACCGATTGTGCAAGAAATAGGCAGGAAGAAATGGAGATGGATTGGCCATACACTGAGGAAACCATCCAGTGAAATCACTAGACAAGCCATTGCTCGAGTGGAACCCGAAAGGGAAGTGGCGATTTGGTCGTCCCACGGTGGGGTGACTTGGAGGAGGTCATGTGAAGAGGAGATGAAAGCATGTGGGCAAACTTGGAGCAGAGTGAAAAAGTTGGCAGAAAACCAAAGGCAATGGAGACGCGCAGCTGAAGCCTTATGTTCCTCTAGGAATTGAGGGATATAATAATAATAAATGTTATTGTGCTGTGAAAAAATATGGTTTGCTTACTCAAGATGGTATAGTCCTCAGGGAGAAAACAAGTTCAGTAAATACTATTTTGTAGGTAATTTCATTCTCAATGTCTTTACAGTCTCAATTTTATACATTTTCATTTCAGCATTCGGCTTATTTACAAGTATTATTTCATTGGACTCAGTGATC